CACATATATGTGGAATCTAGAAAAATGGTACAGATGAACCTGTTTGCAAAGCAGAAATAGAGACATAGACATAGAAAACAAATGTACAGACGCCAAGGGGGGAAAGGAGAGGTGGGATGGATTGGGAGATTGGTATTGACATATATAGAGTACTATGTATAAAATATCAATAGATAACTAATGAGAACCTACTGTATAGCACAGGGAACTCTACTCAGTGCCCTGTGGTGACCTAAATGGGAAGAAAATTCAAAAAGGAGGGGATATATGTACACGTATAGCTGATTCACTTTGCTGTACAGCAGAAACTAACACAACATTGTAAAGCAACTATACTCCAATAAAAATTAAAAGAAAAAAAAGGGGGAGGCAGAGGAAGATTTGCAGAGGAAAAGGCCATGTGACATGAAACAGAGATTGGAATGATGCGGCCACAAGCCATGGAATGCTGGACTCTTCCCTGGAGTCTTGGGAAGCCGGACGGTTCTGCCAGCACCTTGATGGTGGCCCAGTGACACTGATTTTGGATGGCTGGACTCCAGAATTGTGAGAGAATAAAGTTCCATTTACAAGTTTGTGCTGCTTTCTTACAATAGCCACAGGAAGCTAATGCAGCACACGTCAGAAATACTTGTTAAATTAAAGAGCAGAGCCCTGTGCTGCCAGCTGCTCTTTTCTGGCAAACATGTAAGGAAGCGCATCTCTCCTGCCCACACGTGATGATCCTATTTAATAAAAAATGTAGGCACTGCACACGCAAATCCAGCCCTGACATAAACCTCTGATGGAAAGGCATAAAAGTCAAGATGGTCACATCCTTCCCCTCCCACCCAGAACTGGTCCAGCACACCTCCTACCTTCTCTGCAGAAAGTTTTTGAGCTTCTTTTAGAAGCACTGGGTTGGTCATTTGCATAGACATCAATAGTTCGTACTCTTTCTACCCAGAAACTCTCTGTATGAGTGAAGATGGGGGTCTGGGGCTGTTTTCTATGATGCTACTGGCTTTAGAGAAGAGCTAAACCACTCCCTTTGTGACAGTTTTGCAGTGCTTCTTGAGTCCTTAGACTGTGTCTTTAAATTTCTTAGAGACTAGTAACGGCAAAACTATGGAGAGAGTAAAAGATCACTGGTTGCTGGGAGTTAGGAGGAAGGGAACAAAGAATAGGCAGGGACAGAGGACTTTTAGGGCAGAGAAACTATTCTGTATGACACTACATTTGTGGGTACATACATTCCTGAATTTGGTGGTGCAAGTTAGGGTACGCTCTACACCCCACCCCTGGTGTAAGCAAGGAATATGTTCAGTTAAACTTCCACATCCATCCATCCATCATCAGGAGACTGAAAAAGGCAGCGTCAAAAATGGCTAGTTGGCAATCCCATGAAGAATTAACACCAAATTTACAAAATCTCTTACAAATAGAGTGGCAGAAAATGGAAAAGGACGAAACACTTCCCAACTCATTTTAGAGGCTAGTATTTATTATCCCAATACCAAAACTTGACAAAGATCACACCAAAAAAGAACACTACAGACCCATGTTTCTCATGAATTTAGATATAAAAGTCCTCAACAAATATTAGCAAATTGCATTCAGCAGCGCATAAAAGAATTACACACCACAATCAATGTAATACACCGTAACAACAAGCTAAAAAAGAAAAATCACATGATCGTATCATTTGACGTAGAAAAAGCATTTGACAAAACCCGATTTTCATTAATGATAAAAACACTCATTAATAAAGGAATAGAGGGCACTTCATCAACTTGATAAAGAACATCTACAAAAAACCTACAGCTAACATCACACTTAATGATAATAGAGTGAACGTTTTCCTCTAATGCCGGAAGAAAGTAAGGTTGTCTGTTTTCACCACTCTTATTCAGAATAATACTGGAAATCCTAGTCACTACAGTAAGGCAAGAAAAAAAATAATAAAGTCCTACCAATTGGAATGGGAGAAATAAAACTAACCCTATTTACCAACTGCACAATTGTCTATATAGAAAATTTCAAGGAATCTACATTTAAAGAAACACTTCCGGAACTGATAAGTGAGTTTAACAAGTTTGCAGGATTTAAGATCAACACACAAAAATCAACTGCATTTCTGTATACAACAATGAACATGTGGAAACCAAAATTAAAACATAATACCATTTACAATCATGCCAAAGAAAATGAAATACTTTGTTGTAAATCTGATAAAACATGTATAGGATGCACTGTTTTGTGTGATGAAAACCACAGAACTGATGAAAGAAATTGAAGAAGATCTAAACAAATGAAGAGACACATCATGTTCATGAATAAGAAGACTCAACATAGTAAAGATGTAAATTCTCCTCAAATTGATCTATAGCCTTAGTGTCATTCCTTTCAAAAATCCAGCAAGGATTTTTTTTGTAGTCACAGATAAGTTTAACATAAAATTTATATGAAAGGAACAGATCTTAGAATAGCTAAAGCTAATCTTGAAAAAGATGAGTGAAGTAGGAAGACCCTGATTAAAGGTGCAATATATAGTTACAGTAATTAAGACAATGTAGGTGGAGGGAAAGACACATGGATCAATGAAACAAAATAAAAAAGAAATAGCCCCACACAAGTATGATCAACTGATTTTGACAGAAGTGTAAAAGGAATTCTTGTAATTTATTTTCTCTCTCCTCTCCTTCTGGGATTCTGAGTAAACATATCCTTCTTTTACATACACGTCTTACCTTCTTTTCTGTGTCATATCGTTTCATTTCTCCTTATTGAACTTTGGCGAGTTCATTCACACTTACCTTCCATCTCACTAACTCTCTCTTTAGCTGTGTCCAGTCTCTTAAACATACACCCCACTGAATGTTTTAATATATTTCATCTCTTGTTGTTTAAGGTAAGAGGGTAAACCCAGTCTCTGTTACTACATCTTGAGCAGAAGCTGAAGTTTCCCCTTGAATTTTTTCTAACAGTTCCACTTTATTCTTTTTCTAATCTATCGTGTTCCTCTTTATCACTTTCTTTTCTCTGCAAATAGCTTGCAGCTTGTGTTTTACTTCCTTGTACATAAACAGCATAGGTATTTTGCAGTCTGAATCTAGTAATCTCAGTTCTTCAAGATTATCACGTCCTTTTCTGTTTCTGCTCTTTCTCACTCATGGATTTTCCTCTTGTGCCTTATTATTGTTATCTTGAAGGGAATATTTGAAATATAATTTATGGAAACAATTTGGGCTTTAAAATGATGATATTTTTTCTCCAGAGAAGATTTGTATTTGCTTTTTGCCTGGAGATTTGGTCCACTATAAACCAAGCTGAAGGCTTGAGAATGATAGATTTGACTTTGGCTGTAATTCCTGTGGTCTGTCCACTTCTGGTTCACCTTAATCCTGGGGAATAACATTTTAGGATCTTATATTACTGTAGGGAAAGTCTTCTCTTACCCTGTCCACTCTGTTTTTTGTCCTGCTCTACTCTAAGCTGGTAAATGTTCTACTAATCCCTACCCCCATTTGAAATGCCCTCAGGGCTAAAGATTTTGTGCACCTTTATCTCTCTGCATTCTATTTTATTCCACTTTCTTTTTTCCCCTCTCTTTTGTAATTCCATCTTTTATCATATATTCAATGTTTCTATGAAAATTTTAAAATAGGTATTTTATTCCTATTTTTCAATGGGTTTTACAGGGAAGGATTGATCTCAATTGTCTACTATCCCATTATCTAATATAGAAAGTTACAGATCTATGGATATTTTTTTAATTAGGTAGGAAAGAGTACTTTTATGAAAGCTCAAAAAGTTTTGAAGGTATCATTTCTAATCTGGTAAAACCTGAGTGACTATGCTAATTAGTTTACATTCTGCAAACATCCATAAACATTATAAATTCAAGTCTAATTGGAAATTATGCAGACTATTTACATGTGCCCAAAGAAAACACATTACTCATTAAAATTTTAAATTACACCAATGATATGTGAGGGATGCTTACTGATTTTTGAAAATAAATTAGTAAATCTAAAAAAACAAAAGAAAATTGAGTCAAAGTTACTATAACTGAAAGGACATTTTTAATTTACTCTGATAATTTGAAATTTACTGGTCATGTCATTTAACACACTTATGAATAAGTATATCATCATCAGGATGATATAAACACTGAGGGATAGATGTCTTGGATTCACTTAAAGAAGGTTATGAGGAAGAGGCATCTCACTTGTTTCCAGCTTCTTGATTTTCTAGTTAGTAAAAATAAGCTATAACAGCTTAATATTGTTTTCTGTGTTCCTAGAGATCTTTTCATGGCCTACTCCAGTGGTTTCTAAGCTCCTGATTTCCTAAGTCTCCTGGTAATCCTCACGTCTCATCTGTTGGATGCTACGGGTAGAGCCAGAGGTTTTCTATTTACTGGATAATCTAAGGCAGATGCCTGGGTCATTTTTAACAGGAGATCTGTTAATTAAGTAGAAACTAAGGTCTAAGACTGTCTGCAGGACTCGAGCTGCCTACCTCTCAACAACCAGAGTCCTTCCCATGCTTAGTAGATGAACCAAATTCCATAATTTGGGGAATAATAACAAAAGAAGAAATCATACCATATTTAGAGTTTGCAGAATACTTTCATGCACATTATACTATTTGATTGTTACAACAGTTGAATGAGTTGGGTTCAAAAAAGAAAGCAGCACTGACCTTATGCTTGGATAACTTGGTCTCTCTGCCTAGCCTTTCTCACTATTACTACTCATTCTCCCAGCTGTGTGGTGGAGCGGTGATCAGTTAAAATAGTGGTTCAAGCAAAAGCCACTAATCCCTTTAGAAAACAGGTATATATATTATATATATATATATATATATAGAGAGAGAGAGAGAGAGAGAGAGAGAGAGTGAGAGAGAGAGAGAGAGAGAGAGTTATATCTTTCTCTAAGATTTTCCCCCCATGGGTAATATATTTCTCTTTTGTTTTCCTTCCATTTATTAATTTTTCCAGCTCATATTTCTCCATCAGTTCCTTATACCCCCTTTCACTCAGTGCCTTTTTTAATTTGAAATTTTACATAACCAGATCCTACTTAGCATTTGAGAAAACAAACTATTGAGAGTCAAAATAAGGTGAGGCTGACATTCAAGTCTGAAAGAAGGATCACTCTAGTAGTACAGACTTTAAGTTGAAACAATTCTAAAATCCATCTCCTTTTGGAGCATTTTGATTTCCAGAAAATGCTAAACAACATAGATATTATACCTGGAAAATAGCAGGTCTGCCCACAGAATTTTTAAGATACATGATTGACTTTTTTCTTCCTGAGCAATATCCAGACCAGAGCCTCAGATGAGAGAACTGAACAGTTGCAATGTTTATTGCCATTTAATAAAGGCAGAATTACTTTCCATGACAGATATCCCCTTAGCTTTACTCATAGAGAAGAAAGGTCAGGTTGAAATCAAATATACATTTTATGGTTTAAATAAGGGAAATAACGAGATTTCCTTAAGATGGTGCCTGATAAAGAAATCAGCTTGTTATTTCATGCAGATCTACAAACAGGTTGCAGTTTCCAAAAGGCAGTAAGTATAGAACAGCGTGAATAGGGGCTTTACACGAAACAGCGCCAGCCTGAGAAAGCTTGACTTTTCCAGTCCCATGACACAGGGCTGAGAGATGGGTGAGGGGACATTTGACAGGATTAATAGCCGGTGCATTACATTTATAACCTCTGAAGAATATTGTAAGACGGCAACTTCTGCCCATTTAGTTGTGTAAATGACTTTGATGTCTTACCTTTGAGAGATCAATAGAGTGTGAAATAAAGAAAAAGTAACTCTTCTCCTGAAAAAGAGAGACTTCAGACAGCCACAAAACGCGTATTAATTCAGCCAGCCTCGTGAACAATGCATCGGCTGTAGACCACCATGAAGACGGCTAATTCCATATACCAGTTACCACTGCTCGATATGCCTCCTGCTTCTCAGAATCTTTTTTTCTGCCCTGAGACTTAACGTATCTCTTGCACAGCTACATAATGTCTCTCTTTCTAAATCACTAAACTTGTTGCCTCTGCCTGAGTCATAAACAGTAGGTAATGGTGATGGGGTGAGGGCAGGTCCTTCCTGTCCCGGGAGGGTATTTCGTTCTTTTATTTCTTTCTCCTGACCCTGAGCCACAGAGTGATGATAGAACATCAGAGTTGGACAAACCCTTAATCACCATCCAGTACAGTGTTCCCCAAAGCATGAAAGATGAACTACTATTTATTTTATTTTATTTTATTTTTTTTTGTGGTACGCGGGCCTCTCACTGTTGTGGCCTCTCCCGTTGCGGAGCACAGCCTCCGGACGCGCAGGCTCAGCGGCCATGGCTCACGGGCCCAGCCGCTCCGCGGCATGTGGGATCTTCCCGGACCGGGGCACAAACCCACGTCCCCTGCATCGGCAGGCTGACTCCCAACCACTGCGCCACCAGGGAAGCCCGAACTACTATTTTAAACTTACTTGACTCCCATAGGGAGAAAAGAAAATAATTCCCTTTGCAATTCTCTTTTAATCTTCCTCATAAAAGAAAAATTGTACTTGTGCTAGCCTGTCCTTAACATAGCTCTGAAATTTGTAATTTCTCTTTTTCATAAAGAGAAATAAAGTTTTCTGCTCAGAGCTTTTGTCAGACAAGAGAATCTGACTAGAATTTATTGACACTGCCTGCTTGAAAATATTTATTTTGCAGTTCCTATCTATTTATAAGATATTATACTGATTATGTATTTATAGAAACCATTAAAATTTTATTAAAAATAGACTAAAGCAGAGTGGATCAATATAAAGAAAGTTTTTAAGTAAATAATACTTTTTAAGTAAATAATACTGCAGGTAGAATGTATCTCTGGCAAAAATCATGAAGGTGATGGGGACTCAGACAACTGGAGTTTGGGAAACACCCCACTAGCATCACCGTCGTTTTGGACAGATGAGAAAACTAAGGACAAGGGAGCTTCAGTGACAGGCCCAGGTTCACCCAGAGGCTGATGGCAGACTCAGAAGGAGAACCCATGTCTATCTGCTCCCAATCTGGTTCATGTTCTGCTAAGCCACGTGCAGGACATCAAGCTGAGTTAGTTTCTCCCATAGAAGCGGAAAACATAAAAGGCATGACCCACATCTTCACTGTCATATGAAACATGAATTTCAGGGTTTAAGAGGAGGTTTTTATAAAAACACTGAGTCATGATGAAGGGTCTAATGTCATTTTCAAGATAATTAAGACTAAGATACTAAAGCTCATGTTTGGGAATTCAGCCAAGTGCACCTTGCAGAAGCCGTTCGGCTAATTTGAAACAATCAGTTTACATATTGACAAGGGAGGATCACTTATGTATGCCCTGCAGTTAGTCCAGAAGCACTCAGTTACAGAGTGTGTTTGTGTGTGTCTGTGTGTGTGATCCTGAAGACCTTTTGGTCTTGCCTCTGTTAGTACGTGTATGTCTTCCTAAGGGTCTCTGAGCCCATCCAATAATACAAATGTGTTTTGTTTTTAGCTAACAAAAGACTTTTAAAGATAAATTTTTCTGATAAAAGTCTACTTTTTAGGAGACTAAAAATGTGAAATTTATTTTTATGTATTTATTTTTATTGAAGTATAGTTGATTTACAATGTTGTTTTAATTTCTGCTGTATAGCAAAGTGATTCAGTTATACATACACATACATTCTTTTTCATATTCTTTTCCATTATGGTTTATCACAAGATATTGAATATAGTTCCCTGTGCTATAAAATACGACCTCGTTGTTTATCCATTCTATATATACTAGTTTGCATCTGCCAATCCCAGATTCCCAGTTCATCCCTCCCCCCCTCCTGCCCACCTTGGCAACCACCAGTCTGTTCTCTGTGTCTGTGAGGCTGTTTCTGTTTCGTAGAT